TAAATAAATAGGAATTCAGTGGTATTTATGTAAACGCAAACACCCAACCGGGTTAAACATTCATCAAAATCTCCAACTATCTACTTTCTTAATAGATGAATAGTTCTTCATGTGAGTTGATTACAAAAAGGCTTAGATTTCATTTACAATAGTATTTCAAGCGTGGCAAAGTTTGTTCTATAAGGTTTTGGAGCCTGCAGCAAAACAAGCTTTTTATCATGGCATTTTGTCAGGTTGTTTGTAATATAATAAATAATATCCTATACATGTGCTTTTTGTAGTGAAAAACAAGGGGCATTTACATACATACCACCCAATTCTTATGTATTTACATATATAACACCTAAACTTTGCTTTTTACATATACAGCACCCAAATCTTTCAAATCACATAAAAATACCACTTTTTTAACAACCTGACAACATAATAAATAATATTATATGTATATAAATCTTCCAAGAAAAAATAGACCAGTACTGCAAAATTTTTTCATGCAACTTTAACACCAAAGTTGAAATATAATGTGAAAGGTCGCGTTTGTCTGACATGTTAATGTAATAACAAATTTTATATCAAATAACGTTTCAAATTTTTGACTTCCATTAGGTTTTTTTCCATAAAATTTCCATGACTACAATAAAAAACTAAATAGCAATTTACATGTATAACACATAATTCTTATATATTCACATACTAACACCTAAGCTTTTCATATTTAAATACATACCACTCATTTCTTTGCCATTAGATAAAAAAATATCACTATAACTACCTTTTTAAAAGTGAAATACACCTATAAATGCATAGGTTATAACACCAAAATGTAATAAATGTAAATATCAAACTTTTGGTGTTACATGTGTAAATTCATGAGAATTGTGCGGTATTCATGTAAATTTCCCAAAAAGCCAAATAATGCCAATCTAACACAATAACAGGAACTTTCATGCAATTGGAAATTCTTAAAATTGAGCAGATGCATTGAATCTGGGGTTTCTATCAAATTACACCGTGCTACAACTCGTATTTGACAGATTAGCATTTGCTTAGAAATATTAATAAAAGTCGAAGTAAATTATATCAATCTGAGAGTATGACTCGTATAAGTTTCATTGTCCCGATAGATTCTAAAGATTGCCACATAAAATTTAAACGATAATAGCGGCATTCTTTTAGATTTGATCAGATTATCATAATTCAAGCCTATCCCAAAATATTCCAGACTGTAAATTTTGAAAATTAATATTTTTATCGGAATGTTGCACATAAATTCAATTAAAAAAAGCAGAGACGTCAGATAAAATCCACTCCAAGCCATTATGGTCAATGACTAAAGAGGCATTTACATGTATAACACATAAATTTCCATGACTACAATAAAAAACTAAAGAGGCATTTACATGTATAACACATAATTCTTATATATTCACATGCTAACACCTAAGCTTTCATATTTAAATACATACCACTCATTTCTTTGCCATTAGATAAAAAAATATCACTATAACTACCTTTTTAAAATTGAAATACACCTATAAATGCATAGGTTATAACATCAAAGTGTAATAAATGTAAATATCAAATTTTTGGTGTTACATGTGTAAATTCATGAGAATTGTGCGGTATTCATGTAAATTTCCCAAAAAGCCAAATAATGCCAATCTAACACAATAACAGGAACTTTCATGCAATTGGAAATTCTTAAAATTGAGCAGATGCATTGAATCTGGGGTTTCTATCAAATTACACCGTGCTACAACTCGTATTTGACAGATTAGCATTTGCTTAGAAATATTAATAAATGTCGAAGTAAATTATATCAATCTGAGAGTATGCCTCGTATAAGTTTCATTGTCCCGATAGATTCTAAAGATTGCCACATAAAATTTAAACGACAATAGCGACATTCTTTTAGATTTGATCAGATTATCATAATTCAAGCCTATCCCAAAATATTCCAGACTGTAAATTTTGAAAATTAATATTTTTATCGGAACGCTGCACATAAATTCAATTAAAAAAAGCAGAGACGTCCGATAAAATCCACTCAAAGCCATTCTGGTCAATATATCATAAAGGATTAAAAGTGAGTGCCCAGAGACTATGCTGGTAAATTGAAGTCATATGGACGAGCATGCTCGAAGCATAAATGTTGCAGCTATATGAAGCTTAAAAACATGACTACAAAATCCGAAAGGAAAGAGGCATGCTTGCAACTGAATTTTCGGCATAACTTTATTATTACAGAGAAATCTGTCCAAATCAGCGAAGAAACCAGAATGTTTATTATGAGAGGGAAAAAAATATTAATCCAAGCTGATGTTAATAATAAAATGACAAACAGCCAGGCCAGATCATGAGCTAACTAGTCAAGTTGGGGCTCGCTTAAGCTTGACTTCTTAGCTCATTCTGCTAAGCTCACATGCCACTTATTCAGTCAAGCACAAGCCGGCTTGCTTCAGTCACACCAAAAGTGATATGTATGTAAAAACTAATAGTAATAGTTTTTATGTGAAATGAAAGAGTTGGATGTTATGTGATCTGAGTAGTCAATATCAATCGTTGCATTTCACTATGACCTCCGTGCTAGTCCCGTCCAGTCCATTACCCCACCAACATCAACATAAGCGTGCTACACCCTTGCACCGCCCTCATTCCAAGCAATTTCACATCCACTCCTGTCAAGCCAAGTGTGTTAGGCACCTCACAATACACGTACATGGAGTGCAAAGAAGATCGATAGGTAATTTAGAGTATATTAATTGCATTTAGTTTTCTTTTTCATTATACGCCTGCAATTAATTTCTTCTTGCAGGTTTTAATCAACATAAGCGTGCTACACCCTTGCACCGCCCTCATTCCAAGCAATTTCACATCCACTCCTGTCAAGCCAAGTGTGTTAGGCACCTCACAATACACGTACATGGAGTGCAAAGAAGATCGATAAGTAATTTAGAGCATATTAATTGCATTTAGTTTTCTTTTTCATTATACACCTGCAATTAATTTCTTCTTGCAGGTTTTCTCCTTCCAGGCAAGCCAACCACTCGATCAAGGACATCATAATGAGCAAATACGATGCTCCCTACCTGTAATTTTAGGGAAAATATTTGCGTACATAAGACGTACGCAGCGCTGCGTACGTCAGGGGTTATTCAGGGGGTACATGGGGTTATATCCGGGTTATACCCACCTGTAACCTCCGTGTAACTCCGTTGTAACGTCCGTGTAACTCCGTTGTAACTAATGTGGAAACTTCATCTAAAATCTGTTTATCTGGCTATCAAGACGATCTTCCGAGGAAAGGAGGAATTTTTAAATGTAATCGTAAGCAGAAAATATTTGCGTACATAAGACTACGCACTACGCAGCACTGCGTACGTCAGAGGTTATTCAGGGGTACAGGAGGGTTATATCGGGTTATACCCCCCTGTAACCTCCGTGTAACTCCATTGTAACGCAACTCCATTGCAACGTCCGTGCAACTTATTTGTACCCATGGAACTACAGAAGCACGAAACTCATTTGTAGGTTACAGGTAGTTTACAAAAAGGTTACAAGGGGGTTACAGAGGGGGATAACCACGATATAACCTCCCTGTACCACCTGAATAAACCCTGGACGTACGCAGCGCTGCGTACGTCTTATGTACGCAAATATTTTCCTAATTTTAGAGAGTCTTTCTAAGTGTAGTAGTTTTTTTTATATTTTTGTAATTGAATTACAATTTTATTTTGATGTTAATTATCCTTCACTGTCTTTTACAGGACGAGTATATGCGGTCGAAGAATGTCCAGAGTTAGAGCCCAATAGAAGTTGACAGCTCCGATGGCCAACCTGACCAGTCATACATTGACATTTGGAGGGAAGCGATTGAGGGGGAGAAACAAAAGAAAGATCTCGGCCTCGGCTACCAGGGATTAGCATACGAGACACGACACTCCTCTGGTGAGAGCTCCACATCGCTTGATGATCAAGTCAATACATGTGTCGTTGCATTCAACCAAGACAAAGAGGCCCACTATTTTGCTCAGCTATTTGAGATGGAGTCGAGGGTGGGGGCCAGCATGGCAGCAAGACTAGAGGTACGATGCAAGGCACGGCATGGCACGAGGTGGATAAATAGTTCTTTCCTTTTATATATTATTGATTACTGTTGATTCACTTGGACACTTATTTGTACTTACATTTCTTCCATATGTAGTTTTGTATTGGATGATTTATTGAGATTGATTGTTATATTTATTATGATTTTATTCATTGTCCATGTCTGTGTGGTATTACATTTTTCTAAGAAGTTATGGATATATCTGTCCTGTGTTTTATATTACAATTGTAGGTGCATAAGACCGGTATGTTTAGGGTCTTTATATATTTTTTTATTTCTGGCATAGGTTTTGGACGGATAACTGGCGAGTATCAGTCAGTATTAATGAACCAATGAAATTAACAGTTGGTAATCTGCCGTCTGGATACTATTGTTTTTGGCTAATATTGTCATAGCATAATCATCTGAAAAAGTTTCTGGCTGATATTAAGCTGAAGATCCGCCATAAATTTCTGTCAAACTTCTTTTACAGCGTAACTTCTTTCACCGGAATGCATTTCTCACCATAAATTTTTTGATTGATTAAAATCAGTTATAAATCTGCCATATACTAAATTTTATAGGTAAAAAATTCTCCTTTTTTCCTAAGGATTAGTCAGCTGGAGATCCCTGAATTTTTTGTTAGTGTGAAATTAATTAATACAAAAAAAGGATGAAGAAGCAAACAAACAGAAGCTTACCCTGCTGACATTCTTAGAATGTACTGGCAGCAAAAAAAAAAAGATGAGGTGAAGATAAGTACGAAGCAACAACAGCAACAAGCATCAGGTAATGAAAGGGTTGAATTCTCATTCTTTGCATGAGAAAGCGATGAAGAAAATTCATTCTTTGCATGGGATTAGTAGGAAAAAGCAATAAGGAAGCGAAAGATGAAAACGCATTAATGGCTCACCATCCTGTCACTCTTTGCATGTGATTGGCGAAGGAAAAATCGATGACAAAATACTATTGCAGTAGCTATTGTCACCTGTGGTCTGCAAAACAAAAGCTTTGATGAGCTACTCGAGATGTTAACGATGAAAAATGATTAAATATCATAAATCGCATCAACATCATTCCAAACCTTATCCCAATTAATTGGGGATCCCCTTTTAAATCCATAAATATCATTAAATCCTTGTCAGGACGCTGTTTTGTGCATTCCATAACATTAAAAATACAGTAAAATAATAACAAATGGCAGAGTTTGCACCCACCTAGTGAATGATTCCATTTAACGCAACAATAAAAAAAACACACAATAACATAACCTTTTGTACTTCAAAATGAAGCTCATGAAAGTGCCATCGATACCAGAGTTAACCCAAACCACAACATAAAACAAATAATATTACTAAAATGTCAATAAAAGGTTATAAACAACACACTTGAAAGGAAAAATACAATAGTACGACATAAGCAAACCCCCCTAAAGTGTATCCCAAGAGTGGTGTAGGTATGCTAGATTGATTGGAATGGCTGGCGGGTGTGGGGGCAATAAAGAAATGCTGATGCCAAAGAGGGGGAGCTGTGAAAATACAGGGACAGCAAGTATGGTTATTGTCCTGGATGGTGGCAGCGAGAAGTTGGGGTTGGTAGCGGCGGAACAACAGAAAGGAGATTTTCCCTGACTGTCTTGAACGACGACGACACAGTGGGAGGGCTGGAACAACAAGAACAAGGGGCAGTTTGGGCAGCAGCAACGTCGGAAGGGAGGGAAGGTGGCTGGGAGGCTGGAGGCCGGAGGCTGCAAGAAAGCAACAAGGTGAAGAGATTTCTGAGTGATGGCAGCGGTATCGGATGGTTGGACAGCGGCAGCAGCGATGTTGGTGGGTGGGTGGTGGGTGAGGTGGAGAAGGCAATGGCGAGAAAGAAACAACCAGAATGTTGTCCTGGGCGGCTACAACAATGAAGGGCGGCTTGGAGCGATGTGGGGAGAATGCTAAAGGGGATAGAGAAGGGAAGATACACACAACCTAGGGACCAAGATACAGCTGGAGCATGATCTGGAACCCTAGGATACAACCCTCGAAGGAAAGAAGAGATGTCAAAAGCTGTCCGATATAAAAAACCAAAAAAAAACTGACTTCCACATTCTAATACAACACATATAGAAAATTACTAAAAATAAATGAAACATAATATTAAAGAAAGCATAAGAAAAAAATGGGATTATTTCGACCTGTTTCCAGCGATAGCTATTCCCATCGTATTGTAGCAGCTATAGTATTGCGGTGAGGTTTTTTTTTTTTGGTGGTAAGCTCCCTCATCAATTTAACCGGGTTGTGGGGAGCTTCAACCTAATCCGCGAAGCTTCTATCTCCTTATCTTATTACCTCAATTCAACCACGTTAAAGGTGGCTAAACGTTGTAATCTCAATTCGGTTGGCATTGAAATTCTAAAACACTACTTGATAGGCATTCATCTTGTTTTGACAATCATAAATGGAACTATACGTGGATGTGTACCCTCAAAAACCAAGCCTCAAGTGATCAAATCTATAATTGGCTTCTTCCACTCTTTGTACTCGTCCAAGTGTATCTGATAAACAAGCATGTAATAAGAAATCAACTCTGGGATAAAATCTATAACAGGCTAGACCACACCGAAGTATAATCATTCAGTAGAGATCACATCTTATTCACTGAAAGGGCCTAGATCCCACTATAGGAAGTTCCTTCCTACAAAGCTCCTAAGGTGATTTCTAACAATTTGGTTCATCCATTCAGCCTGATCAGCTGTCGATGGGTATACTGCTTAACTGAATTTGATACCCCAATGACTCCCTATGGTTGTCAAAAGTAGTACAAAAGAGTCTCATATCGAACATATTGGACCTCCCTCAGTAGGGCCAACTAAGGAAACAACCTATATATCTGAAAAGTCTGAATTTCTCTTATCTGAGATTTCTTTGTGTTAATTATCAACTCCCAAAACTCATGACTCTTTTGGACATCCAATACTAGTCAGGTTGATGCTCTTCTCAAAGTCTACAAAATGGTAGCTCGAGACACCACAATCTCATACTATGCTTGAACACTCATTACCACATACTCATTGTCTTCTAGAATAGTTACCATCAACTCAGCTGGAGTCTCTCTCCTAGGTGGTTCAACTGAAATTGTTGGCATCTCTTCCTCCGACTGGAAGTTGAGAATCATCTATGACATCTTCATCTTCTCTGAGGTCACTGTTTATTTCTTCAACTGCTCTCTGATCTATGAAAGACAACATTCTTTATTGTGCAATTTGATTCAGTTTGCCCAAATCTGTGACACTTGAAATATTTCCCGGCATAGACAATTTTGGCATGTTGGTTGGTGCCCTTTGTTTTCCCCTTTAAACTAGTGTCACTTCAGACGAGGTCAACCTGGATGTATTCCTATGTGTACTCGGGTTGTAAGATCCTGGAGTTGAACCCAGTCTGTAAGATGTGATAGTCGTCCGATGATGTGGTCTCTTCACTTTTGAAGCTTGAGTCTGAACATCCAGTCTGTAATGAGCTGGTAGGAACTGACACTGCATCTCCCGTTTCATCTTAGACAAGGTAGTAATCTGATCATGTCCCTCACGCTGGCGTATGTACCTTTAAATTTTGTCACAAAAATAATACGCTCTTCTTTAACTTGTTGGTGAAAGGCGACTAGCTTCACCATTCCGTCCGGAGGGACACCCTAATACACAGACAAATTCCAAGATTCAAAGCCACTCGATAAACTCTTTCGGATCTATGTAGTTGTCAAAATATAGTAAATCCACCTTTACTTCAAAATTAGATATTTCAGGTCACATCTTCAAGGTAGAGGTTCTTTTATCCAAGGAACCTGCATGGTGGAAGAGATTCACTTCATTCCTTCGATCTAACAAATCACCATTGTGCTACAAGCGACTCATCCAGATTGCCTTCTCTTGAAGGTGGCAAGACTCTGTTATAATTAGTGGATTTCTCACTGCATATATTTCTTAGAAATCCTCTAAACACCACTTTGTGAATTTTTCATAAACAATATTCTGTCATTTCCCCTCGATCAAACTTTTGACGATCATCTCATTGGCAATAGAGCCAGGTTTTGGGTGTGGTTAAGTGGAAGATGTGTAATGTTGATGCAAAGTGAGAAATTTTTTGGTAGAGATAGAATATGGGTATGATAGATGCTAGAAACTCTGGGATGGGACTAAGATTAGGCTAGCTCTGATACCAAATAATACTAGTGTTAACCCAAACCACAACAAAAAAACAAATAATATTACAAAAAAACAAATAAATGATTACAATTAACACACTTGAAAGTAAAAATACAATAACATGACGCAAGCAAACCACACTAAAGTGTATCACAAGGGTGATGGAGGTTAGGTGGATTGGAATGGTTGGCGAGTCTGGTGGTAACAAGGGGTAGTGGTGAAAATGTTGAGAAAAAGCAAATATAGTTGTCTTGTATGGTGACAACGAAGAGTTTGGGTGGGTAGTGGCGGAACAACAGGAAGGAGTTGTTCCCAGCTTTCCTTGATGGCAACAACACTGTAGGAGGATTGGAACATCAAGAATAAGGGACTGTTTGAGCGGCGGCAAGCCGGAAGCGAGGGGGAGGTGGCTGGGAAGTTGGAGGCTACAAGAAAAGAGCAAGGCTAAGGGTTTTATGGGTGTTGGCAGCCGTATCAGATGGTTGGATAGCGATGGCAACGATGTTGGTGGGTTATACAGCTAGGGTAGCGAAGCAGGGGGAAGAGAGGGCAATGGTGATGGCTGGACTTTATGGGTGTCGGCAGCCGTATCAAATGGTTGGATAGCGATGACAACGATGTTGGTGGGTTATACAGCTAGGGTGGCGAAGCAGGGGGAAGAGAGGGTAATGGTGATGGCTGGAACCACAAAAAACAGCAACTAGAATGCTGTCCTGGGTAGCTGCTACAATGAAGAGCGGCCGAGAGTGATGTGGGGAGACTGCAGAAAGGGATGGGAAAGATACACACCACCTAGGGACCAAGATACAGCAAAAACGCCACTTGAAATCCTAGGATACAACGCTCAAGAAGAAGAAGAGACGTCAGTGGTTGTCCCAACACAAAACACCAAAAAATTTGATTTCCAAACCCTAATACAACATAAATATATAAAAGAACTGAAAAGGAATAAAGAATGCAGGAGAGAAAGCATAAGAAAAAAAAGGGATTATTTTGGCCCGTCTCCTAGGTAGCTATTCCCACGATAGTGTTATGGTACAGAGGTTTTTTTTTTTCCTTTTTTGCTTTTATTATTTTTTATTTTTTATTTTTGCTTTTTTTTATTTTTTACCTTAAGCTCGCAAGTTAGCCATGAAGCCATGTTTCAAAGGCTATTCAGTTTGATACTTTTTTATTATTTTTTATTTTTTATTTTTGCTTTTTTTATTTTTTTACCTTAAGCTCGCAAGTTAGCCATGAAGTCATGTTTCAAAGGCTATTCAGCTTGATACTCACGCCTTTAACTTTGAAGCACATACTTCTTGCTTTGCATTAAAAAATTAAACTAAAAGATTTAGTTTAACTATATTAACACTTAGCAAAAATTAAACTCAGGATAGAATTTATTAAATAATTTGTGGAATAATGATTTAACACCTCAAACAGTACCCAATATGAATGAAGAAAAAATGGCGACTCAAAATGCCAATTTTAAATTGTTAGGACATGACTAAAGGTGATGGTGAATTCAGCTAGGGGCATGTCTCATTGATTATTGAACAGAAGCCAACTTCAGCTTATTTCTCAAAATTAATGCTCAAAAACTCCTGTTTTATCATATAATTTTGTTTTTTTCCAATTGACATTGGAATATCATTGAAGTATGGTTTTCCAACTAAGATATTTTTATTTTGGGCCCTTCATGTGCTATTTATAGGACCTTTGAGGCACATAAAAAACAAAGAATATTTAGTAGTGACATAAAATTTTAGTTTCTCTCAACTCCTGTGTGTGTTATTAGATGTGGATTCTTCAAGTACTTCACAAATC